TAAGTCCCCGGGTGAGCGTCCGACCCTGTGCGCTCTGATACTACACTACCATCATTTCCTCAGAAACAAAGTAAGTCCACCACTCCAACACGACCTCTGGCATCTCTTTGAGGCTACTCCCCTGCTCCATCCTCAGGCAATTGCCAATGTGAGTCATGCCCCCAAGCTACCTGCTTCCCCAAGTCATATAAATGTACGTCAGGTTTCTGCCCCTACTCTTGTAGCCCAGGGAATACCTGTGAAGGACAGGACGACCTCAGACTCAATTCTCCTGCTTTCACCTTCTAAGTGTTGGGATTACAGGTGTGCACCACCATGTGGATAGAACCCAGTCTTTGTGCAATCTAGGCAAGCATCTACCTCGACTGAGTCACAGCCACAACCTGTCATTTTCCCCCTTACTTTTTAAAAAGCCTCTGAGTTGGGAAAGTTTATACTCAAAGGCACCTGTAGTTTGCCCATGTCTCCTGAGTAAGATCCAAAGGAACGCTTACCTTCTGGAATACTTGATAGTTGGATTTGGACCATATGTCCAGCTGTTGGGGAGAGAGAAGAATCAGTATCAGTTTCCATCAATCCAAAGAAGCCAATCAGTGATAGGGTGGGCCCCGGTGGCAAAGGCCTGCTGTGGCCTGCCTAAGTTTTTCCTTACCACCTTCCAGGTGACTTAAGGAATGGAATGAAGGGCTCTGCGGCCATCTACCTCCAGTTCCATGGGCTGAGGCCCTGCCCACTGTAGACCCTGATTCTCCTGAAAATGCCAAATCACCCTATGCTCTTTGCCTGGATTGTGCTTCACACAAGCTTGTACACGGCTCCTCCTTCCTTCAGGCTCAATGTCACTATGGCCAGGAAGGCTTTCCACAGTTACCAGTCAGAACATTCTTCCTGACATCCACTTCCTTTCCTTTCTGAGAAGTTAGTTTTTCTAACAGTAAAGACCACCCAACAGACTGTGAGCTCAGTGAGCAGAGGTGTTGGGCCTGGCACCTCCTGCGAATCAGTAGGCCATTGCTGGGTAAAGAGAACCAGCAGTGTGAGGATAGTACTCCACGCTAGGACTCACAGCAGACTCTCCATATACGCCTTCATTAGTCTCCAGAATGACTTTGGCTTTCCAGATGAAGAGGGAGCTTACCTCTCACAGAAGGCATGACAGTGTCATCTGGCTGCTCAAGCCCGGCTGGCACTGGCAGCCCCTGGGGAGGTTTATTCTGTATTTTTATTTATTCTCTCATAATTGCATCCCTATTGCTGTTTCCCCTCCCTCACTCCTCCCAGTTCCCCACCTTCACCTCCCCTCACCCCAGATCCACTCCTCCTCTGCTTCCCTTCAGAAAATAACAGGCCATCCAGGGATATCAACCGAACACAGCATAACAAGTTCAATAAGACTATCGAGGCCGGACGAGACAACCAGTAGGAGGAAAAGGTCCCAAGAGCAGGCAAAAGAGTCTGAGACATGACCATGTCACTGTCAGGCGGTTTTGCTTTTTTAAGTTACACATTCATTGCTCTCCCATCTGTATTAGTGTGGAGGGCTAAAGCCAGCCTATGAGGCAGCTCCTTGTTTGTTTCTCAGCAGCACTCCTAGAGTGTTCTGGAACTGGCTGGGTTAGGAGGTCCTGATCTGACTGGATTGCTCACACAAGGAAGCTTGAGGTTCCAGATGAGATGTGGGTGGAGCTCAGGGGAACCAGTCCAGCCCCCCTGCTCCCACTGGGGTCTCATGCACAGTACCTCAGTGTCTCATACATAACTGAAGCCATTTCTGTTTTCCCCCAGCTTGCTCGGTAACCCATACAAATCTGGCTGCATGTTTCAAGACTTTAGAACAAATGATGAATAGCAAACCCAGAATTCCTCTAATATAGAGACTGCAGGGGCTGGGGCTGCCACTCACGGGTAATGGCAAGTGAGGAAGTTCTCTGTGTCTCAGAGCTGCTAGACAGGTGACTTTAATATAATGAGGTCAGGAGCTGAGTAAATCGAAACAGCCAGTGAATGGTTCTCCTGGTCCTGCCTCTGGGGTTGACTGGTGGTCAGACTGCAAGTCTGACCTGGGGCAGCTCAGGCCTGTGTGCTGTCACATTGATCTGGTATACTAGGGCACAGGGAAGTGGCTGCATGGGGACATGCCTCTGAGCCACAGGAAGTGAGTGTGGCATTTCAGGGTCTTTGCTGTTCTGAGGAAACACCAAAAACCGTGGCTTTCTGAAGAGTCCTTGGAAACTGGAAGCTGGGTTGCACCCTGGCCCGCACTCCTTTCTCCAGCTCCTTTTCATGTGTGATCGGTTTCTTATGAAGTCTCAGGTGCCCAACCACCTTACATGCTCAAGGACAGAGTGACTGTCAGGGTCACCTGCAGCATGGCTGGGCTCTGGCTGTAGAGGGCAGAGGGACAGCCCAGATCCAGAGCTGGCAGATATGTGGATCTTTGATCACATACCCATACTGGGAAAATGGACCCTACCAACCATACTCTATCCCTCCTGCTACAATCCCATGGCCTCCTAACAGCAATGCCAAATTGGCCCCTAGAGAGGCAACATCAGACTTCAATCTCTGTCTCCTTTAAACCAATGGACAGGAAAAAGAATCTGAAACATCTTTCAGGCATTAGAGGTTAGCAGTATGTAGGGTAGCTGACAAAACCAGTTGGCTCAGTGGAAAATGGCATCTGCTGCTAAGCCTAATGACCTGAGTTCAATCTCCAGGACCCACATAGAGGAAGGAGAGAGCTGACTCCTGCAAGCTGCCCTCTCACCTCTGAATGCACATGTTTACAGACAAAACACATACAGTAAAAGAATGCACATTTAGTTCCCCACAGTCTCCATCCTGACCTGCCCAGCCTGTGTGGGTGGAGTCAGGCTCAGGTGACCTCAGTGCAGTATTCAGCCCAGAGTTTAAGGAAGGCAGCATTTAAAGACTGCCCAGGGACCCGGGGGAGGGGATGGGAGTGGAGGGGAGGGGAGGGGGTGGAATGGGACTGACTTTGCCTGTCTTAGTTCTACCCAGATCACAGTGCCAGGGACTTTAAATCAATGTTTCTGGAAGAGCCGTATCCATTTGGGGACTCGGAAGCAACTTCTTTCTCATTTCCAGCACTGCTGACACCTCCTGCCTGTTCACATCACACACAGCACACGAGGATACCAGCCACAAAGACATGGAGATGGGAGTTGCACACACTCAAAGTTACAGACTTTACTTAAACAATTATCTTAGGAGACTTTCAATATCTACAAAATCTACCAAAAAAAAAAAAAAACCCTCGAGAGAAAAGATCAGATAGATGCTTCATTAAGAACGGACTCTGCAAACTAATTGTGGATATATTCAAAACCAGCCTTGCCTATTCATCATGCCTCCTTTTCAGAAGTTTTAAATAAGTCATCCAGAATGCTAGAGGATGATTCTACCATCTGGGACAGCAAGGCCCTGGACAATACCATCCATTTACCTGGCACACAAGGCTGAGAAAGGGACCTATTAACAATGGGCTCCCCTTTTGCTCTGAACTTGAGTCAGGTGGCATATACCTGCTCTTCCGCTAGGCTTACCCCAGAGAGAGCCCTTTAAATGAGTTCTGGAGTAGATGCTCTGTCTCTCTTCAGGTCAGGAAGGACTCAGAAATTCATTTCAGGAAGCCAAGGCTGAGCCCAGTGAACATTTATTGGCTCTCGATTCTTTGCTGCAAAGGCAAGCATTGTTAACAGGGTTTTTGCTAGTTGCAATATTAAAAAGGGAACATAATGGAAGCTGCAAACCTTCAGTGAACAAGACATCATTTGAAACTAGGATGTCAGGAAGAGAGTGACCCTCCCCTCAGAACACTGGGCCAAGTCAGCTGCCTGTGGAGCCCAATGGACAAAGCTGCAGTCCCAGAGGCAGCTCTAAGGGTGCTCAGGCTGGAGTGTGTTCAGGTGGCGGTAGAGACTATTTGCAGGGAAGTGAAATGCAACCCTGCAGATGAGTGGGGTGCTCATATGTGTCCTTATGATAAGACACCAAGATGTCAAAAACAAAACCAAAAAACAAAACCAAAAACAAGCTCCCCCCACCCTCCAACTCTTAAAGAGTGGTCCAAGGACAAAGGCAAGGTCACCCTGTCCTTGCTGTTCTCTTACTCCTGCTGTGATCAGCAGGGACCCCTCCAGTGCTGGTGCATGAGAGTGACTGCCAACGAACAGATGAGGACTCTGAGGCTCAGAGAGCATCACAGCTAAGGAGTGGGGAGTCTAAGAACAGGCCTGAGTCCTTCCTGACCTGAAGAGAGACAGAGCATCTACTCCAGAACTCATTTAAAGGGCTCTCTCTGGAGTAAGCCTAGTGGAAGATCAGGTATATGCCACCTGACTCAAGTTCAGAGCAAAAGGGGAGCCCATTGTTAATAGGTCCCTTTCTCAGCCTGTGTCTCAGTAGAGAGAGGGCCTCTCTACTCAGGGCTCCTCCACAATGTCACTGCCCCAGCTCTCTGGGGTGCTCCTGCAGAGTTCAGTCTCACAAAACCATGGCAGGCCTGCTGCTCTGCCAATCATTGCCACTAACATTCACTTAGCAGTACTCAAAAACGCTGGCAGCTTATCAGAAAGTTATCAATTCTTTATTTCATTTCAAAAGGCAGCACACACAGAGAATTTTAAACGATCTAAAACGGACACTTCCAAAGGAAGCCCCTAAGCCGCAGCGGGCCTCAACCTCTAAAGGAAACCTTTAAAGGGATCTCTAACTTGCAAGACAGAAGTATCCTTCTGGGGTAAGGATACAACTGGGCACTGGTGAGGGTTTTCTCTGCAGCTACCCAAGTTCTCAGAGCCATGGAAAAGTTCTGTGTGGTCATCCTCTTAGGTGTGCTCACCCTCCCAGAGGAAGAGAGGAAGCAAGCCGCCAGGAGAGCATGCTATGCCTCTATTAGTCTTCAACTTTCACTTTCAATCAGGACATGCATTTGTTACCAAAAATTTGCTGAAAGCACAACTTTGGGGTGCCCTCTGTACAGGAGCCCAGCTGGATTCAACCCCTTCCCCGGCTCTCACCCTTTTCCCCACAAGTAACAAGAGGCCATTTTTCTGAAGGTCGTCTGAACAATTTCAAAGGCTATAACAAATCAAAATGTTCCCTGCATCTACTATCAAACGAGGCTGATGCCAACACTTATTAGAGAAATCAGATTCAAGCTTCCCCCAACCCCCTCGACCCAAACACACACACACATCCAACTTTGAAGTGGGAAGAATGCAGGATCAGAAATTACCCTGGAGACAGCTCTGGCTGTCTTTGAAGGTTCCCTTTGATACAGCCATTTCTTCTCCTCTCTTACGCTCGAAGGCTAAAAGCTGCCTTTTTTATTGATATGGGGTAATTAATGAAGCTATAGCATTAACATAACCTAAATCCCCTAATAAGATAAATTCAACGGAGACACTTCTATTTTTTCCATCCATTCAGCCTGACTGATATAAAATCAGGACAATGGCCAGGTGTTCCCACACCCTGCCTGTTAATATGCTGAGTCACGGCCTCATTCCCTGATTGCAGCCAAGAGAGGTTGGTAAGTCTGAGCAGCAGTTTTATTCTTAGAGGAATGAGGGTACCAGTGCTTGATGTCAAAAAATATGCATCATGGGTAAAGAGACAGGGCATCAAGGTAGTGGCTATTACAGCAAGGTGCAAGTGGACAGTGTGTGGGATGGATGATGGTGGGAAAAGCTGGTTGGAAACTGCTGTGGGTGGGGAGAGGGCACGGCTGGCCACTACCTCAACACTAAAGGCAATGTGTTAGACCAGCACATGGGGGACAACCACACAGGTGCACAAGGTTAAGGCCATGGGAGACTCTCTGAGTCCATCTAGTGCACCCCAGGCTGAGCTCCACAGCAGAACAAGCAGAACAAGCCCTGAGCCTGGGCAGCAGTTGAACAAGTGCAGGGCTGCCACTTCCCAACAGCAGGGCTGCCAGGAACTCTATTCTGCAGACCAGGCCGTGAGTTCCAATGGTGTTTTCCAAATCTGATTTTTGTGTGACACAAGTGTGCCCACTGCAGGCTCGGCACTCAGAACTGGACATCTGCAGTGTATTCTCGTTCGTAAAGTCCTTAAGAAACTGGCACTGATGGAATGGTGAGGAGCAGGCAGCCTTAGGCTGGCTGGCTCACTAAAAGCTTCTCTACCACTCGAGGCCTGGCCTTGCCAGTCTTGCTTAGTCTTGTTTTGGAGTCCCTACCTGCTACGTGGGCCCGTGTGCACAGGTACAAAAGGCACTAAGAGGTGCCTGCCTATTATGAGCACAGTGAAACAATGCCCTTTAGACCTGTGCAAACGGCTCAGTCAGGGTCCCTACCACACCCAAGGCTGCTGACAACCTGAGAACCAGAACCCAGGGACATCACTCACTCGGGATAACCAGACACAGACCCCATGATACCAACTGTGCTCTGCTCTGCACATCTGGAGAGATGACACCTTGATCTGCCCTGTGGCTGGAAAGTCTCCCCCAGGATCCTGACCCTTGAATCAGAGACTTCTGTCAGAAACTTCTGACCTGATCTTCAGCTAAGTTATGACACACGGGTGAGCAGCCCTGAGGAGATAGGCTTAGGACCATACTTAGAAATTCTAGTGTGGACCTTGTGTGATGATCGTCAGCATAATAAAACATAACTTTCGTTATACTAGCTACATGCTCTACCTCTTTGTTTGAGACAGTGCCCCACCATGCTCTGAGACAAACCATCCTCAAACCCAGATTCCCTCACAATGCCCACTTTCTGCTGTACAGTGAGAGACAGCAATCTTCACGAGGAGGCTGTATATGGGCTCATATGTGCCCCTTTAGTCTGATCATTTATGATTCTAATGCTGCTGCTTCCTGATTCTTCATGTTTCCATTTCAGCTAAGCAGTTTTGCCTCTGGTCTACCCTTAGGACGTGGTCATAGGACTCATTCACACAAGCAATTCCCCACCCTAGGTTCCAGCCCCGTCCGTTCAGTAACACGAGTCAGACTGAGCAGTTCTTAAGGCAAAGGATGGTCAAGAGGCCAGGCTGAGCACTGGAGTGCAGGAGAGTTGCTCACTGAGTCAGCTAAGTTAGATGGAGCTGGCAGGAGGGAAGGAGGGAGAGGGAGAGACGGGGAAGAAAAGAGGGGGAGGAAGAGGGAGAGAGGAACCCAGGGGTGGAGTAGGAGAGCAAACACCTAGGGAGTCAGAACAGGCAAATGTGAATTAATAGCTCGGCTGTCCTAGGGCTATGGTGCGCACCATGGCTGGGGAGTGGACAGGACACATGCAGAGAATGGAGGCCGGTAGGGAGGGTCAGATCTTGCAAAGGTGTCTGGATTCTGTTCCCTAAGCCAGGCCTCAGAAGCACGTTGTACGAGCTGCAGGTACAAAATGCTCTGAGGACAACATTGGGACCACAAAAGAATTTGGTGACCTTGTGAGAAAATGTGTACCTCTTAAGACACTCATATGGCATATGCATAAACCAAAGGCTCTAAGAATGTCTAAATACAGTTAACTTCTTGGCTAGAGTAGAGAGAGGGGATGGCTCAGGGGTGGAGGGAGCATTTGCTTTTAATTTGTGAGAGGCTCTGGGCTCTATCTTTGGGTCTGAAAAAAACAAGATAGAGGGGAACTATCTATAATCTAAGGTTTCTTAAGCCTGGGTGCATGGGCTGCTCTGTACCTAAACCCCATTGATACCCACCTCTTGCTCTGGGGCGGCTGCTCAAGTATACTGGGATGGTGGCAAGCAAGAGAGTCCTATGTATGCACGGGGTTTATAGGGAGAGTAATCGGCAGGCTGAGGGCAGGGACACTGGAACCTCCATGTGAGTTAGCAAGAGCAAAGTCAGGTCAGTAAAGGCAAGGGTGATGAAGCAGGGGGCAGACAGAGGGCCTGGGGTGTGGGGCAAGGCAGACAGAGAGGTGACAGCCAGCACCTGCTGACAGCCCAGTCCTCAGGGGTGGCAGGGAGGAAGGTTTAGACAGTTGGGTGGTGGTATAGCTAACCAAAACCAGGAACACGAGGAATCTAAGATATGGAGATGAAGCAGCCCAGACAGAAGGAGTGATCTCTGTGTGGGCAACATGGCTGAGAACAGGTAAGGGGAGGGGGCAGAGGGAGGAGAAAGCCCCAGGGAAGAGGAGTCAAGGAAGAGATGGGAAAGAACAAAGTGTGGCTGCAGCAGGCTACCAGAGGAGCCTTCACGAGGAACATGGTAGAGAATTTCTTGTCTTGAGTGCAGCATAAAGTACTAGCGCTCCCCAGTGAAGAGTGTGGGTGTCCCTGTGTGTGACTGTGGACAACTGGGGTCTGGTCAGCAGAACCTCACAGGCAGTGTGCCAGCAGCACACATAGCTAGCAGAATCCCCACTCCTGGTCTGAATTTGGAGTGTGGCTCATTTGCATCCTGACTTGGTAACTCTGCAAGCACCGTGCTAGTTACAGCCTTTCTCTGTTCTCAGTCTCCAATCCCTGCCTAAGTGAGCAGCAGCTGTTTCATGCATAGTGTGACTACAGCATCCTCAACCTGAAGCTTGAAAAGACCCAAGAGGAATGAACTTCTACATGCTCAGCAGGGGCCAGGCTTCCTGGGAGCTGTGCACTAAGCCTGCCTGGCTTCTAGAGTAGACCAGAAAGTAGACTTGACCCAGACAGAATTTAGAATCCCATGGCGGCCTTGCCCACCAGACCGTCACACTCACTCTCCACTCTTGCTTCAACGACAGTATGATTTTTCCAGAAAGATAAAGGACATCTCCCAACAAATGATTTGCTAGCAATTGGGAGACCAATGCAAACCAGGCAGAGAACTTGGAAGAACAATAACTCCTCTGGTGGCTGTGGTACCATGTGTGAATGCTGGGTGCTCGCAAGTTAACTTTAGCCCAGCATGGGAACATCTGTCACCCGCAAAGCCGCAGCTACCACCTGCTTTTCAAGAACTGTCTATTCTCATTATAATATGGTCATTGAGTGTCAATTGCTGTCAGCAAACACATTGAAATGTTAACATTTGAAATGAGGAAAGCAAAAGGTCCCAAGAGAGGAAGGGGAGGGTGTCTCAGGCTGGAGAGTGACAGGGGGAACTTGGGTGGGTCTGTGGGGCGGGTGCACCTCACGCTTGGAAGCAGACACAAATGAAGGCTGCCAGCTCTCATTAGTGTCCTCTGCTGCTTTCCACAGAGCCAGATGGAGACTCAAGAAACTCCAGATCCACTAGAGTGAACTTTCCAGGGAAGCCATCACCTGGGGAAGCGCCTGCCTTCTCACCTTAGCCCTCATCGTGTTTGGCTGTGGAGAGTAAGCCTTCTGAAAGACAGATCACCTGTGGGAAGAAGCTGCTTTCTTCCTGCTGAGGTATTCAGTGTGCAGCTGATACGTGACTTCCCAAGGGCCCACTGTGAGAGTCAAGGAGAATAGGTTGTGTCCAACTAACTTGAGTCTTCCTCACGGCTCTAAGAAAAGCAAAATGTGGAACCCTGGGTTATTGATGTGCTGGCTGACTTGAAAAAAAAATCTATTTCCTCAGAAGACATGTCTAATGAGGCAACTGGGGTCTAAGGTGCTCAATTAGAAATTCAAGTGAGGGCATCGGGCTTGCCGTGAGCAGCAGAGGTTTAAAACAGCAAGTGGAGTGAATGAAATCGTTTTTGTCAAAGGTTCCTCTTCATGCTGACTAGTCTGGATCCCTCCAGTGCTGATTTGCTGGTTATTAGTATCACTCACCTGGAACTCTGGTCTGGGACAGAGTAAGGAAGAAGCCCCTCCCCCAGCCTCCAGGCCACTCACCTTTCCATCCTCTGTGTAGACACTCTCGTTATACCCCTTCACAATCGTGCGATCGATGAACAGGCTCCTCATGACCACGATCACTTTCAACACCTTCCCCAAGGTCACCTGTCAAAACACGAGTGAACACACGTGAAGGCTCAGAGTCAACATGCGTATCACACAGAGCTGGGCAGGATGGTGGAGGCAGAGACCACTGCTTATCTGTCTTCATTCTGAGTGAGGCATAGAGGACATGGAGGGAAGGCTAGGTGCTTTACCTCACCATGTGTGACAGACCCAGCCATGGCCAACTCATCTGGAACTGCAATGCTAGCCCAGCCCACTCCATACCCCAGTACAGCTTTGCCTCCTGACCTCTCACTACCTGCTGGATAGAGCACCTGCTCCGCCATTTCCCAAGGCCAGGGCCTCTAAGTTTGGTTTGATGAGCTTGGTGAGCACAGTGGTGCTGATCTGGGTTATGGCCATGAGTATAATACATGGAATACAGTGCAGAGGCAGAAACAGGCACCTAGCAGCCCTTGCTGGAAGCTGCCTATTAGTAGCTGGGGGAAAGCGGAGAAACAGCGTCAAAGTGAACCTGAAGGGAAAGGAAAGTGGCTAGGTGTTATCCAGACCTGCAGTCAGCACTTCATTCTCAGAACCTAAGCACATCATGGATTAAGAAAACACCTAAAATGCTGGGTGTGGTGGCTCACACCTTTAATCCCAACTCTTGGGAGGCAGAGGCAGGCAGATCTCTGTGAGTTTGATGCCAGCCTGGTCTACACAGGACAGCCAGGGGTACGCCGGCAGACCGTCTCAGTACCCCATGCACCCTGAACACAAGAGAAAACATGTAAAAGGTCCCCACACTGCCAGGGAAGACAGACACTGCTGTGTAGGACATGCGGCTCTTCATGGAATTGAAGTAAGGCTGCCTTTCCTTAGAAGGCAATGCCTGAGGAGCACGCCTTCTGTGTTCCCAGGTGAGACCTGGGAGGCAGGCCTGGCCCAGAGCTCACTGGAGGCCTGTGGTCTTGGGTGTTCTGACAGGGCTATAAATCTCAGACTTGCTGAAAGGAAACCCTACTGGTCTAAGAAAGCCTCAGCCTGCACAGCAAGCCTAGTTCTTCTAGGCCAACTTGGTGCAGGCATCTACAGAGATGACTCTTAAGCATCCCTTTCTTGTCCCCTTGTCCCTTGCAGCTGTCTGCCTCTCTGATGACTACCTTCCTGTTTCTCCAAGGAGTCCAAGGTGCTAATGAGCATCCTGACACCTGGCTTTACAGGAGCTGCTATGATGTTTCTTTCAGTTTTGTGGGCCTTACCTGTGCAGAACAGAAGCACCGTAACAGAGAGCTAAGATGCATTTGTTTACATTTAAGGAGTGCTAACAAATACATCTTACAGTGTACTTTAAAATACTGTCTCACTAGTTGACACAGAATCACTATTTAAGGATGCCAACGGACCATAAAGGCAGGAGCAGCAGGAGCCTCCTAGAAGGGAAGAGGGCAGGACAGAAGCCAAGGCTACAGAGCAGGCAGACCTGACAAGCCAGGGCCATCCCCCAGCACATAGAAGGCCAGCTCAGAGGCTTCAGGAACTGAGAGCTGTCTTCTAACACCTGACTCCAGCTGGATTTAACTAACTGGCTAATTGTCTCAGAAAAGTGAGTTTCTGGAGAAGGGCATCAGGAGGAAGATAATGGCCCAGTCTTTTGTCTTTCTACCCAAAGATGGTCACCATTCATAGTTTTTGGATAATTCCTTTATATGTGTGTGTGTGTCTGTATGACTGTGACAAGTTTTATCGTTCTTAAGCACTGTCCCCCTCCTGCTCCCAGTGGTGGGCTAGGTGAGACTCTGAGCCTAGGTCCTGGGTCTCCCTTTCCCTTTCTCAGAACATACTGGAATTTAGCCTGGGCCCAACATAAGCCTTTGGCACCTGCATGTGGAAGAGGCAGACTCCACCTGCCCCCAGCACCAGCCCCACACTGGGTGCTCAGAGCAGTATGGTTACTTCCCTTGCCTCTTCTCCTGCATCCAGGATACACAGCAACAGGAAGGAAAGCTCCCAAACAATCACATAGCCAGTGAATGCAAACCGCCAGTGAGCTTGAGCTACATCTCGCTCCAACTCTGTCCACGCTTTCCCTGCATGCTGGCCAATGCTAACCTTTCAGGTGGTCCATACATTATTAGCCAATCCATGGTTTTCATATTCCTGACACAGATAAATGTGTGGATCTGCCAGCCAGATCCTGACATAATTACACCACAGGCCTTCCTCCACACTATACAGCCTGCTACACAGGCTTCAGAAACAGTGCCAGGTGCTACCTGGCCTAGCTGTTGGCTACTGTGGGCCCTTCTCAACCCCTCTCCTGCTGCCACACACTTAAGGTGTTTCCAAGTCTCCCTAATATAAACACGGCTGCAGCAGGTACTTCTGGCACCATACTGCCACTGCATGTGGGTCAATATTATTCTTTTAAGTTATATTTTACTTACTTGTTGTGTGTGTCTATGTGTGTGAATGCATGAGTGTCACAGTGTGAACGTAGAGGTCAGAGGACAGACTGTGGGAGTCTCCTTCCAGTATAGGAGTTCTAGGGGCTGAACTCAGGTTGTTTGGTTCGGAGGCAAGCATCTTTACCTGCTGAGCCCTCTCACCATCCTAAGGGGCATTTTCTATTTTAGGACAGATTCACAGAATTCTAACTACTGGGGTGAATATTACAGTCTGCCAAGCTGCTATGGAGGAGCGTTGTACCGACCAGAAAGCTCCCACACACCTGTTGGCGCTTCTTCATTCCATTCTTGTCAGTGAAGGGAGCTATTGAATGGAAACAACACCAGCAACAGCAACTAAACAAACAAACCTGACTCCCTTGTTACTCTTCTCCAGCAATAACAACTTAGGGTACTACGGGGGTGGAGCACAGGCTGTTCTCACACTCCCAGCATCCTCTTGCTTTTTTGCCTATTGATCACTCAGACAACAGGTATGAACCTCCATGCCTGACTTCCAAGTTTTGTTGTTGTTGATTTCTTTTAAGATTGATTTCTATTTTAAAATATATGTGAGTGTGTCTGCCTGTATGTCAGTATGCCTTGTGCTGGTACTCTCAGAGATAAGGAGTGAGGTGCCCTAGCTCTGGAGTTACCCAGTTGTGTGCTGTCCATTGTGGGTGCTGGGAACCAAACTTCAGGTCCTCTGCAAAACGCATTCTTAACTGCTGAGCTATCTCTTCAGGGGGCCCCCCCCCCCACCCCCAACTTGGTTTTAAAAAAAAAAAAAAAAACATTTAGTAAAATAGGGTGTGACAATGCATGGTTTTAATCCCAGGGCTCAAATTGTGTCTAAAAAATAACAAAATCAAACCTCCCAAACCTCTATGGACCCAACTCCTGGCCATCTAGTGTCACCTCTACCTCCTTTCCATTGGAATAACAAAAACGGTATTAGTTCTCTGTAAATATTTTAGTATGTATCTTTAAAAGACAAGTGGGCACACTGTGACAGACCTCCTGTCTAGAGAACAGCAGCTGTCCAACACTAGCAAACATCTGCTGGATTAGTTACCAGGTTTCCAACAGTCTCCTAAATGCCACTTTGAAAAGAAAAACACAGGCTGGAGAGATAGCTCAGTGGTTAAGAGCACCGACTGTTCTTCCAGAGGTCCTGAGTTCAATCCCCAGCAACCACATGGTGGCTCACAACCATCTGTAACAGGATCTGGTGACCTCTTATACTGTGTCTGAATCAGCTACAGTGTACTCACATAAAATAAATAAATTATTAAAAAAAAAAAAAAGAAGAAGAAGAAGAAGAACGCTCACTCCAGATCCAAGTGTGGGGATCCAAGTGTGGGCTGTGGGAGCTGAGGTACTCCATCAGCCTAAGCTGGGGACCTGGCTCCTGGCTCCTGCTCTGCTGGTTGGAGAAGTGGAAGAAGTTAGGGTCTGAGGAGGCTATGGCCTGCACCACAGATGCTTCCCCAGGGAGCACTGATATGGCTTCCCCTGCACTTTTCACAGAAAGCCCTGGAGGATGACGGTTGGTGCTGGGTAGACCGTACTTCCTTATTTTACGGTCTTTCCATTCCCATGAAGCCCTATGGAATCTGTGAGACAGAACCCTGAAGTTCATCTGAGCTGGAGAGGCACAGTTAGGGCCATTTGAATCTCAGCTCGCTCTTGGTGATCTATCCAAACGGAGTCATGTCTCTTGACTCTGCTGTGGGGAAGCCTGGTCTCCTTGCAGCTCTGGATGAAGTACTTTATTCAGAGGTGGGCTGGGAGGAGCCTGGCAGGCAATCCCCAGATGGACAGCACCTAAAGGCGGGTGTGGATAAAGGGCTCAGGAGTAGCTTTTGCTCCTTAGCCTGAATCAGTGTTTGAGTTTGTTGGAGGAACAATAGTTTTAGCTAGTCAGCAGCAAAGATAGAACTAGATGCTGTCCAGGCCAGCGAGCCACCATTTGGGGCTCATCCTCCCTCCTGCTGCTACACTTGGGACTGCAGGGAAGCTGTGGACTGTGGATGCTACCCTCCAGGGCAAATAAAATGGTGAGTCTGATGGATGAGTACCAGGAAGAAAGCCTGCAGGGCAATGAAGTCTCAAAGGGGCCACATGGCCGGCCAGCCAGCCAGATCTAACGCACTACAGTGATGGCCATTCGCTGTAAGTCAAGGCCTATACTTTTACATGGGTTTCTATGCCACAGGCTACACAGCAAGTATGACATAGGACAAGTCAGTCTCTTATGCCTATCTGCTCAGAAGTGAAATGAAATGTGGAGGGGTTGGTTGAGGATGCAGGCTGCAATGCTCATCTCAAGGCACAATGTACCACAAAGCATCCTTCTGAGTGTGACGAAGCAGAGTGGGCAATAGAAGCTATCAGTATGGAACTAGGTGCACATTCTATGACATACTTTCTAATCTTAGTGTCACTTCCATGAGCCAGATGCTCCCGTATGTGGAGTGTGTAAGTTTCTGGCCTGGCTTTGTCGGGCCCTGGGCTTTGATGGACTGATAGAATATACTGCAGATGGACCATGGACATCTTTCTAAATGCAGCCAACACTGCCATAGTCAGAAGCAAGATGCTTACTGA